GTGAAGTCCATCTTGGGGGGGATCCAGAGCCCAGGCTCCTCCCACCCTTAGACTGACTTGCTTTCAGCAGCCCAGCCTCAGACACCCCTGTTGCCCCTCCTCCGTCCTTTGTCTTTTTCTCAGGCAAACAGGTCACCTGGGTTTTTTTGTTCTCCAACCCCTTTGGTTGGCTCCTTGCCGGGGATGGGGCTCCGGCCATCAGTTGCCAGGATACAAAGTGTCGGCTATTCTGTGCCCAGTCAGCAATCACACCTGCCCACTTGGGCTCTCTGCAATGATCACACGTCCTTATTCCACCACCTAGATACTTGAGTAACACATAAGGGAAACTGAGGCACACATAGTATTCAGAGAAAACATTAGAAACTTTCCCACTTTGTCACAGCACTTGAAGCACTCTGGAAAGAAGGAATTCAGCAGGGATGCTTGCCTGTTTTGTCACTTCTTCAGTGGGAGACCGAGCCTTTCCTTTAGGTCACTGCTTTGAACCCAGACCACGAGTAATGAAAATTGCTCTTGCCATTTGATGGCCATTTGGTGGCTGAAATGAAATGAGCTGAGCTGGTATTGGTCTAATTATTAGTAGATATGTTACCTACATCTATCAATCTACTGGAATCCATGTCCACAGTCTTGGAAGAGAGCACAAGGACTGAATGGGCATTGCGGCTGAATCATCTTCACTCCTCACAGGTCCACAGTGTGTGCGTAGTTTTGTGTTGCCACTGTCTTTGCTGTAAATTTTCTGTGCGTAAATAATGACTTCGTTCTCTAGGGCTGCCAATCCAGCAATTTTTATCTGTGCTAACTTTAGTAAATCTCAGAGTCTGGTTGAAAACCATCAAATGTGAGGATTAAAAGATCAGTCTAGTACCCTAAAAGTGCCAGGAGGAACCATCTGAGCAAAACAACGCAGGCTAGAGAGGAAGGTGTGAGACCTGCCCAAGTCACAGGAATTGGAAGACTGCTGGTTGGGGTCTATCTGGGTCTGTCTCTGGGTGGCTGACCCAGTTCCACGTTAATGGGAGATGAGCCTCAGCACCATCTATGACAAGATCAGCTCCCCTCCCAGATGGGGAAAAAAATATTTCTTCATGTGAGAAGAGAGTTACTTGACTATCTCAGGCCAGGTGTGAGGGAGAGTAAGTCGCTTGAGTGGGACAGAGGCCTTGGGAGGCTGCAGCTGGCCTGAGGAAACATCTATAGGGAGTAAAGGAATTTTGGATTACAACCCAGCTCCAGGAAGGAGGGCTGGGGGCTCCTGATTCAAGGAGAGAGAACTGTCTGAACTGTGGAACCAGTGGTTACAGGGGCCAGCTGGGTGAAGGGGTGTGAAGGATTCCAGGATTCCAGGAAGGAGGGCAGTGGGCTCCTTGACTAAGGGGAAGGACTGGGGCCTGGAGGGGGACTAGTGTGTGAATGAACTAAATAACTAGATCCCCTTCCAGAAGGGGAGCTTTTTAAACATTATGGACTAGGTGGAGTTATTGAGGAGTCCCGCAAGAGAGCAAGGTGCTGCAGAGCCACCCCAGGCAATCAGGAGGTGCTTGGGAGGTGGTGACTCATTTTTACAGGGTCTTTGTGAGCTTCTATGGGCCCAGATCAGACCCCCCCTACTCACACACACATGATCACACATGAAGTGGTACTTCAGAGATGGAGCTCCTCTTCTCCAGATGCAGGGGAGCTAGGGTTTCTCCCTAGCACAGCCCTCCTATCTGGGTCTGTCTGATCTTGTATAAGCCCAGCTTTGCCCCCAACCCCAAAATTTGCACAGGGAGCATTACCTCATAGATGCTTAGCTGTCCCAACCCTGAAAGCAGTTGGAGCGTGGGGGTGGGGGAGGAAGTAGCATATCTTGTCTTTCCTACCCCCATGGAGATTGCAAAGAGAGTTAATGTAGTGTCTATGAAGTCTTGTGGATTTAGGTGTCCCTGGCAGGCCAGTTTGATTGGATCTGGGAGCAGGACTGTGGAATGGTCTCTCTCTCCCTAGGGTGTCGATGCTAAATGCCTCTGGGGATCTGCATAGCTTGTGGGTGTGCCTAAAAGAGACAGCCCCTTTGCCTAGGATCCTTCCCTCTACCTGAGGTCAGTTGTGAAAAATGTGCTCACGACTCTTCCCTTCCCTTCTCTGGGTTTCCACTGTACTGAATGACCAGAAGGCTGGAGGAAACTGTACCAGTCTAGGGGGCTTTGTGGGGGGGAGGGGTGTATGCAAGGGCATGTGTTTAATCTGAGATTGTGGAATGGGTTCTGCTGGTTTTACTACTTTTACTAGTCTTGTATTGGATAGAATGAATTGAAGCTAAGTCCTGCTGTCTTCTGATGCTTTATCTATGGAAAGCCAAGCTCTGAAGGCTACAATGTTAGCGAGTGGTAATTTGTAAACGACTGTCAGCTGTCAAGCTATCCTTGCTCCCGTCTCCTTCGCCTTAAAGTTATTTTTCTTTGAGCGACTTTTCTCTTTCGGTAGCTGATATTTTTAGACCAGCGGTGTTTTTGGAGGGCTGATAGAAGCACAAAACATAATTCTCCTGCTCCCATGTGGAGTCGTGGTGTCACGGCTGGCTTGGGAAGCCATCAGCAGCAGTAAGGGTGCCAGTGCCACTTGCTAGGCTGTCAATCTAACAGTCAGGTTGTTTTAAATGTTGTTTGGTGCCAGAATGAAGTCAGCAGCTTGTCTGTGTGTAATGAGCCAACACTGGTGTGAGTCTGATCAACCTGGAAATGCACTGAAACGGTCTAAAATGGTCCATGCCCTGCAGCCCAGAAAGCATGAAACCTATCCTGCACAGCTATGTCTTGTTCCACAAGGACTTTCCAGGGGGGAAATATGGGCTAGTGATTCAGACAGAGCCTGGGACTCAAGAGACCGGAGTTCTAGTCCCTGCTCTGCCCCAGACACTGTGTGACGTTGGGCAAGTCATTTAGTCTCTCTGTGCCTTAGCTCTCCATCTGTAAAGTGACTAACAGCACTGCCCTACCTCATGGGGGTGCTGACAGATACCATATTATCTGAACACAAGTCTTTAATATAGTTAACAGGGACAGATAAGCACCTAAGGTTGCTGTTAATTTGTTCCCAGACACCTTTTTCCCCCCTCAACAGAAGGGAAGCACTTGATTTGTATGAATGTTAATGCAACTCCAGGTAATGCCAAACAAAACAGCACATCCTACTTGTTCTTTTTACCCTTCTTATGCTGTGATGGGTAAAGTGGAAGGTGGTGTAGGTTAGCAGATGGGGCATTGGACTGGGGCTTGAGAGATCTGGGTGCTGTTCCTGCTTCTGCCACTGACCTGCTGTATGACCTTGGGCAAGTCACTTCCCTACTCTGTTTCCCCATGTATATTTAGTGTGAATGCTTCAGGGCAGAGTGTGTCTCTTCCTTTAGATGTGCACAATGAGGTCTCTAGATGCTACTGTATTACAAGTAACAAATTTTCAAGATTTCAACTATTTATCCCAATTAGTGATGGGGAAAATTTTCAAAATCTCAAATTTTCATGGGATGAGAAAAACCTTTTTCCACCCAGCTCTACTGCTGATCCCTGGCCCAGGGATCTGTCCGTAGGTTAAGTTCAGTGCTGCTCTGATTTTTGCCCTCCCTTGCAGTATGGGTTCGATGCACAATTTTTATAAAAAGCGAAGCACAATCAATCTATTTTGGGGAGCAGGGAAAGATATTGTAATAGATACTTTGTTCCATTATCTAGAGCAACGGTTCTCAAACTGTGGGTCACGACCCCATTTTAATGGGGTCGCCCGGGCTGGTGTTAGACTTGCTGGGGTCTGGGGCCAAAGTCAAAGACTGAGCTCCGCTGTCCGGGGCCAAAGCCCAAAGGCTTCAGCCCTGGGCGGCAGGGCTCAGGTTACAGCCCCCCGCCAGGGCTGACGCCCTTGGGGTTCGGCTTTGCCCCCTCGATCCCCCACCCAGGGCAGTGGGGCTCAGGCAGGCTCAGGCTTCAGTCCTCCCTCCTGGGGTCTTGTAGTAATTTTTGTTGTCAGAAGGGGGTCTCGGTGCAGTGAAATTTGAGAACACCTGAGCTAGAGTATCTGTTGAGCACTGACATTATGCTCGCTGCTCTCCAAAACAGGGAGGGAGGCACAGTGCTGTTCCCCAGGGATTTAGTCTTACTGTTGGAACCTGCCGTTCCACTGTTACCTGTCCTACCTGCCACCACTTATTAAATAATTGAGGATGCATCACGCTGTCCATACATCTTCATCTGCAGTAGACTTGCTCAGAAGGAAAGGGTAACACTGATCCTATAGGATTGCTTATGACTCTTGTGAGTCAATAGGAAGTGCATCCACCTATTGCAAAGTCTTCCCAATTCTATTCTATGGAGAAGTACAGCTTACTTGAAGGGAATGTCAGTGAGGTCCTAAGTTAGAGGAAAGGCAAGCAATATCACTTTTTGGAGGAAGAGGATAAGGGCACATTAACAGGGAAATGATAAATATCAAAATAATGTACTTCATACATGTATTCCTGAGGAATGGTGACTGACTATGAAACTCCAGTAGTTTGGAGAGTTCAAAGCTATTTCTGTGGGGCAATATTTCTGGGCTTGTGTTCACTACCACACTAAATCGGCAGCAGTGCATCGATGCAGAGGCACAGCTGTAGCACGTCTAGTGAAGATGTGCTATGCTGACGGGAGAGCGCTCTCCCATCGACATAATTACTCCACCTCAACAAGAGGCAGAAGCCATGTCGTCAGGACAGTGCCACCTGCCAATATAGTACGGTGGAGACATCGCTTTAAGTTGATGTAAGTTACATTGCTCAGGTGGGTGGATTTTTCACACCTCGAACAACGTAACTTACGTTGATTTAAGCAACAGTATAGACAAGCCCTCATTCTCACCTTTACTTCCTTCTCACAGGGAAGAGTGTCCATTTGGAAGTCCTGTAAGACAGAATTTGGCTTCTCTCAATAGACCTTTAAATGCTCTCATGGTGATATCAGTACTGCATCTTTCTGTTATAGGAGAAGAGCATCAACCATGATCTGGATCATGGCAATGCTGTCCTTGAATCCCCCAAGGTCTCTCAGTCGGTTCCAAAAGTGGAAAAATCCTCAAGCAAACAGCAGGAGGAGGTTAAACCGGTAAGTGTGTAATGTACAGTTTTCAGATCAGTGAATAACCTAATCCACTTCAAAATCTGCCTAGTAACTTTGAGTACATGGTAGGAGGGCAAAGAACACATTGAATGCAACCTGGAAACTATTCATTTGGCCTCTTAAATGAATAATATTTTCATATCTCCCTTTTTTGGGGTTATAAAAAGGGGGTATTGCAGTTAACAAAGTAGCTGTAATCATAGCTCCAAAGGCTCTCTGTGCCATAAAGAGGGATGTCCTAGACCTTGAGAGACCTTAGATAACCAGTTAAGTTCTGGGTGCCCCCTGCTAACTTCAGATATGGTCTGTGGATACAGTCCCTGTCTAGTGGATGTTGTCAGTGTAATACTGCTGCATCTGCATTGTTATTAATGATTGCTCCATGCCATATTCCCTGCACTAAAAAGGTACCCACTGACTATACTGCTGTCCAAACACTCGCCCCATCCCGTGGTTTGTCTTTAAATGTCCTGAATCTGGATTCTACTTCAAATAAAGGCTTCCTGTCTCTCCCAATAGCTTTCCCTCCCATATGGGTACTCAGGCCAAGATTTTTAAAAATGGGACACTAAGATTAGATTCCCTAGACCATATTTGGGTGCCAAAATTAGGGCCCTGATTTTAACAAAAGCTCTGAAAATAATCAGTGGAAGACACTTTGTGGTCAGTGCTCCTGAAAACTAGGCCACCTACTGGAGGCTTAACTGTGGGTCACCAAGGTTTGAAAATCTTGGCTTTAGCCTGAGGTCCAGAGTTGGAGATTCACCTAGTCTGTCTGCCAGGGTGAAGCACCAGAATGGCTCTGCAGGTCTGAACAGGTCCCAGAGTCTGACAGCTGGTCATATTTATTCACCTAACCCTGATGCTACTTGTCAGATTCCACAGAATGTCTTCAGAGATTATTTCCCTAGTGCTATGAGGCAAGTACATCCATTAGCTGTAAATTAGTCACAGCATATCTTCAAGGAAATAGATAAAAAGATAGGAAACCACTGACTGAGCAGCACAGCGTAGAATTTATATTTAATTACAATTTTTTATCTTTCTTGGTAATAATGGAAATTACTGTAATCTCAAAAAAGCTTGGAAAGTAGGGCCCAGAACAGTACAGGCCCAATGGGTGTTTACCTTTTCCTGGGGTCAAATAGGGACAATGTAGATCCACATATAAAAGAGTCGATTTTTATATTACTTATTTGCTCTCTGCATTTGTTCCCTAGCCAGGTAAATAAAGTTGGTTGCTAAGCTTTAGGCAAGCCGTTGCCACTTAGAATGACTCATGTAGCCTTGTTAACCAGAGTGCTTCTGTGGGTTTTTCCGTTAGAGATCTCAGCATGCTTTCTATCCTCCACAGACACGAATAAGTGCTCTCTTAAAACTCTCTAGCCTTTTGCTCTAGGGAGAGGAAAAAATCTGAAATGACTAATTACATTTGTAAAAATTATCTTTAAGGGATGAAAGAAGAACCAGTCAGTTACCGTCTGTCATATTTAAACTGCAATTACTGTGCTGCATATTGATTTTCATAGTGTTACAACACAGTTCAGTTGAACACATTAACCTTTACAAGGGACGTAAACAAAAAGCTGAGCCGAGCCATTGTAGAATTGTGATTGTCAAAATAAATACATGTGTGTGTTAGATTACATTTACATTCTTGTTCTTGCTAAAATCAACATAAAGATGAGGAGAAAACTGGATTGCAATTTTGGGAAATAAGGGGGTATAAAAACTTTGGAAGTTGGCCAAAAGTTCTGAGTTTAAATAACGCAAAATACTTGAAATGCTTTTTATCTGGGGATCTTGAAATTCTTTACCAAGAAGAATGTATATAATTATACCCCCCTTTACAGACTGGGAAATGCAGGCACAAAGAAATTAAATCATCACTTTTCCAAGCTATTCAGCAAGAAAAGGAAGAGCTAGGAATAGGAGTCAGATATTCTGATTTTCAGTCTGATGCTCTATCCACTAGATCACATGTTAATTCATTCTATAGTTCAAAAGGACCCTGTAATTGATAGGATCAAAGAGATGTGGGAGAGTAAGTTAGTTACATCTGGATACCTGCATGCACTGAGCCTTTGTCAGCAAACCAGATCCTTCCTTTCATAAGGTGCACGTTAAATGCTGAAGTAAGGCTCATTTTCAGTGCCTCAAATGATAATTTGCATAAACACAATTGATTAGATTTTGGAAAGCATTGATTATTAAAGATATACATTTAAGGTTGTTTTAAACTTTTGTAGTAAGTACAGATGGACCTAAGTTACAAATTGGAATCTGGAGCTGAACTTTTTTACAGAGTTCAAAGGTGTGTTGGATCCAGGTGGCTTAGATTATGCCAACCTTGACAGTAAGATATAACAGCGCATCTTTCTTGCTCATATAGCGAATTACACATTTATACAGTGCATTCTATGTGGGTGTATAACATAAATACTAATAATGTTTATTACTAAACCAAATAGACTCAGTACTTTGATTTATTTATGGCTTGGCATAAATTACTGAGATTTCCTCCCCCTGAAAATGTTATGAAAAATAAATTTAAAAATATCTGCTACTAATTTCTAGCTAAGAATAGTATGGCATTGGGCAGGTAATTGCATCCATTGTTCATTTTATATATAGATATAGATATATATAGATATATAGATATAATATGTATGCATTTATATGCACTTCAGCAAGAGCCCATCCCCATCTATTCTGTTGGTATCGGATTTTATTATCCAGATTCAATGTTATGATATCAAATAATGCATTTTCATGCTTGAAGAAAGATAGATACCTCATATAAACTGAGGGCTATCCTTCCCTATGGTAAAGCACAATATTAGCTAACACGCCTGTAGAAAAATACTACCGACTAATACACATCAAAATGCTTTGCATGCATTTTTACATCTATTTGTACTGAATCTCTTCTCTTTGCCTGCAGCTCCCCTGTTGTTCTAATCTCTTTAGGTCACTTTGCACTTTGGTTCTGTGCTCCTATGTGTTTGCTACCCCTCCAATTTCAGAGTCCTCTGCAAATTTGGTGGATTTACACTAAGTAACATCAGATAAACACCTGAAGCAGATGCACAGGGTATAGAGAGAGGTGCATTTCCTGCCCCCCTCTCTAGCTTAACTGATGATAAAAGCCTCTGGAGCCCCCCAAAGCATCATGGATATGACTATGACTATCAGGAAGCATCACTGGTAGAAGACTGATAGATAGCTGGTCTTTGTAGCAGAAGCAACTCCAAGGACCACCAGTGCTCCACAGATAAGAGAGAATATCTGCGTGGAAAGGTTTTGTTCAAATTCAGGTGGATTCTTACTTAATTCAAACCAGTGCACTCACCCCTCCTATTGTTTCCCTTCAGCTCCAGTTTGCTTTGCTGCTTTTTTTCCCTGCTGTAATCTTACTCTAATGGGTTATTTTTGTCATTATGGGGGCAGGGCCGGCTCTGGCTTTTTGGCCGCCCCAAGCAAAAAAAAAACCAAACAAACAAAAAAACAGGGCGGCCAGAACGGCAAAGCAAAAAAAAAAAATGGAGCGCAGTTGCAGGGGGACCGGCTGAGGGGGGAGGGAGCGGGCGGGAGAGAGAGAGGAAGGGGGCGGCCAGGGCTACAGCAGGGGCGCTGCCACGCGGCCCCTCCCGCTGCGCCGCCGCCTGCTGCGAGGGCTCCGCTCCGGTTGGCAGGGAAGGAAGGAAGAGGACTGCCCTGCAGGGGGCTCTGGGTCTCCGCGCCGCCGC